AAAAACCTGGGAGCTGTCAGATGAGATTAACCTAGGGAGTGAGCGTAGATACAGATGAGAAAATCACCAGAGTCTGAGTTCTGGAGTACTTCAACTTTAAAGGGCTATAGGGAAGAGAGAATCAAAGAGGTTGAGAAGGAGTATCCTGTGGGGATGTAGGAAAAAAACCAAGGGAGCATCATTTCCTGGAAGCCTAGTGAAGGCCATATGTAGGGAGGAAGGTGTGATCCTTAGTATCAAATGCTGCTAATGTATCAAGTACAATGAAGACTGGGAATTGACCATGGGTATATAAACCTGTCAAAATTCATTGAACTATGTACTTAAAAGAGAACATTTTATTGTATGCTTAGAAGCAAAAACACCCAGTAGCATCAGGCACACCTAGCACTCAAATTTTGTTATTTAAATACAATTTATCACGAAAAGGAACCAGATAACCTTGGTGAAATGGCTGAGTCTAAGTATGAGATGAACTATAGCTTCTTATGATGCCAGAAAATAAGGGAGAGCTCAAAAAATGATGGGCTTATGCAAAAATGACAGAGGAGACAATGTGAAGGGGGTCCCTCTGAGCAAATATGGGGAAAATGAAACTCAACATGAATAATGGAAGAGTGGACTGTAAGTCATTAACTGAAAGGAGACTCCATCAGTCCATACTGATTGGAAGCAAGCGAGTAAATAAATAAATAAGGGAAAGCTCTTTCTTGTAGCGAGTACTGACCAATAAGGTAGAAGAAATAATAAAGAGTTAGAAAATTGCTGTTTTGCAACCTTTTTAGAAATAACCGCTTCAGGCCAAAATCATTAATAGATAATAAAATTGGTTAGTGAAAGTTAAAAAAAAAACAGGATAATCACGTATCTCTTCACAGGTGACTTATTAATTGGAAAGAAAAAAATGGACAGGTTTTTAGTGGACAAATGGAGAGGGGGCACCATCTTCGCTACCACTCAAAGTTAACATCACCGATAATGGGAGAAGCTGACATCATACTCCTTCTGATGTAATGCACTGAGGACACAACATCACCTAGGCAGTGTTCCTGCCCCCAGTGCACATCCGACCCCCCAAAGGAGTAAACATCAGAGCAACCCAAGTCGAAGTGTCCTCTACAAAACAACTGGCCAGTACTCTTAAAAAATGTCAGTCATAAAAGACAAAGAGAACCTCAGGTATTGCTTCCTAATAATGGGTACCAGATACAGTGCGCTAAATGCAATGTGTGACTCTGAACTGGATCCTGGGTTAGAAAAAAATTTCCATCAATGACATTGGTAGAATAACTTGTAAAATTTGGATACAGACTTATATATGAGATAATAATATTCTCTTTATGAATGTCTTGAATTTGGCAGTTGAACTGTGGTTACAGGAAAGAATTCCTTGTTCTTAGAAAACACATGCTGAAGTATTTAGGGATAAAGAGGCATTATGTGTACAGCAAATTCTCAAGTGGTTACAAAGGAAGCAGCAGTAAGGCAAACTGGGCAAAGTTCAATAATTAGTGCATCTATGTAAAGGGTGTATGGATG